ACACACACACACACACACACACACACACAACACACGCATACAGGGGTTACAACGAATAAGAGGAACTGGGAAGAGAGGGAGAGAGAGCAACAGGAGGTTGGAAAGCCACACGAACCCACACATTACGACGAATAAACTCGCCTCTTCAAGAAGGATTGACTCCCAAAACTGGGCAGTGATGCCTCCCTAGAACCGGAAGATAGGGGGCAGCGCCCATCAGGGGCACTTCATATACACGCGACAGGTTGCACCGCTTCACGAATCAAAGAGGTAACTGCACGAAGAGGAGGAATGGCATGACGGGTCTGCACGGAAATGCAAACAATGGATCTGGCACCCATTCAGAGGCGGATTGCTAAAGAGAACCCCTCCAACAATTAGGACACCAGTTCCGCTCACCCCCTTGTCGAATCCTCACTTTGATTTTGTCGTTTTTTTCAAAAAAAAATCATTCAAATTTCGCCACCTTCGCCCGCACTGTATGTTTTCTTTCTTTCTTTCTTTCTTTCTTTCCTGCTTTTTTTGTGTTTGTTCGTCGTTTCCTGGTTCCCACCGTTTTTTTTTTTTTTTTTTTTTTTTTTCTTCCTTTTTTTTGCTTCTCCCTTGGTTTTCTGTTTTCTTTTTTTCTTCTTCTTTTCTTTTTGCGGTCTTGGCGCCCACTGCTCGGTTCGATGGCCACACCGGATTACACCTCGATGCTCGGATAGTGACGAACTGCCAGGACTATTTAGGGCTGGAAACCCCCAGGTCGACTCATCTCCTCCGATTGCAACACAGACATTTTGTTCGGCCGAAGTATACTTGCCGAACAGAAGGCTCGTCCGGTTTGTTTCAGCTCCGGCTTCACGGGCGACGGCAGAGGGGTACCGAAGGAGCGGCTGCAGGCTACTGTCAAGGTGTACCATGAACTATGAGGTGGATCAGGACTTGGTGGATCGGCTGATCGGCAACGACGAGGACGTGGTATAATCATCTGCCCGCTCTCCCCCGCATGTGCTTGCACCGCGTCATTTTTTGTTGCGGTTGTTAGGAGAGTCTGCTCATATGTCACCCGAACACCGCTGCGCTTACACGAGCAAGGAATGTGCGCTTGTCTCCTCCTCTCATTCCTCCCCCTCAATCTACTGCGTTGGTTTGCGAGTAAGCTGCTATCACTTGGGGCGATGGCGTTGAAGGGTGAGCAGAGGGACGATGAGAGAGTCGGCGTAGCTATTGAGTTGTCAGCCTATGTGCTTCTCGCGTTTATTGCGCTGCTGGCATTTCTCGCGTTTTTAACCTTGTTATTGCATATGCAGGCGCCACCACCACCATCCAAGCTTCAGCTACCCAAGCATGTGTGACGAATGGCAGGTGTCACCCTCTGATCAAGCCGTGCATTTGTGGCTAGCGACAGAAAAGCGCTTCAGGGATCGCCACTACCCTCCATGTTTTTGGTTGTCGTGGCTAGCCTCCCATAGTACGCGGCGCTGCCTCTGGGGATGCAACCGGTCTTGTCACTCTTATAAGTCGTGTGCTGCTTGCGCATTGTGCAGAGAAGGAGTCAGAAGAGTGGATTGCTTCAGCCCTTTGACCAGAAGAAAGGCAGTATTGCCAGACGAGGACCTACGTATTACCACTAGGATGTAGTTTTTTTTGCGTTTAATAAGTCTTTTTACCAAATTGTTTTACCAAGTTTTTTTTCCCCATAAGCGGATTGATCGTTTTTTCCTCCCCCTCTCATGCCTTCCAAGGTTCTCTCTCTTTCTCACCCCTGCCCGTCCTTTCCCGTTTTCTCTCTCCCCTTACCCACCCCCTCCCCTTCCCACTCTCTCTATATCTATCTCCCCCTCCCTCCTTCGTTCATCTCCTCACCTCCCTCTCCTCTCTCTCTCACTCTCTCTCGCCTCGCCTCTCCATCCCCGACTCTTGTTGTCATGTACCATCCACAGTGATGGGCTTCTTGAATGAATGGTGCACACATGTATGCAATATGGCACTCTCATGGATCGATTGAGTCGTTGCTTGTATCTCTGTTTCATGCGATGTTTGTAGATAAGATCTCACACTTTTCGGTTGTAACGGGATCACTCGCCATACTGATGTAATTCCATACGCATCGCCAGGGGAGGGAATTGTCGATCTCCACGTCGCCATCCGCCAGGCTGCCGCCTACGATGTTACATGGGTACGGGATTAGAATGAATGGTGGCTAGGGAGGTTATCCTCGGTCCCCCGTAGCTGCACAAATTTTTACCCCCCCTCCCCCTCTCCCCTTTTTTTCCCCTCTCTACACCTTTCACCCCCTCCCTCCTTTGTTCACCTCCTCGCCTCCTGCTCTTCTCTCCTCTCTCTCGCCCGCCTTACTTTTCTAGCCCCGACTCTCTTTGATGTATACCATCCACAGCGTTTGGCTTTTTGGGTACATGGGTTGTAGCGATAGAAGCACGCATGTATACAATATGACACTTTCATGAATCGATTGAGTCGTCGCCTGAGTTTCGGTTTCGTGCGTGTTTTCGTACAATTCTTAACTTTTCAGTTGTAGCCGGATCGCTTGCCATACCGATGTAATCCCATACGCATTGCCCAGGGATAGAACTGCCGATCTCCACGTCGGCGTCTGTCGCGCCACTGCCTATGGAATTACCCCGGTACGAGATTGGAATGGATGATGCCCCGAAGGGTTATCCTCAGTTCCCCGTAGCTGCACATATTTTTACCCCCTTCCCCTCCCCCTGCCCCCTTGGTCTATGCTACGACTGATCCCCGGAAAAAGCATTCGGTCCTTTCGCGCATACCCCCCATGCAAACCCCGCACGTAATACCTGGCCCCGGGATTGCCGATTTCCACGTCAGCACCGGACGGACGACCACTTGTGGGACTACATGGGCGCGCACGAGGATGATTGCAAAGTCCTACAGTAATAAGTCCTTCCGTGGAATCTTTCTCCTTGTTTTTTTCTCCTTATTTATTTTTTTATCCATGCTGCTATGTCTTTGTTCGTTTTTTTTCCAGTCCAAGTGCGCCTAAGACCTTCCTTCAGGATTACTCACTTCCTGATCTGTAAAACGCAGTACTGTTCAATCATATGATAGCTATGGGGATGCTCTCAAAGCTCGGGGAAATTGGCCATCGACCAGGTCTTAGGGTAGGACAACTTATTGCTCTACCGCCCCCTGAACCCCTCTCCAACCTTAATAATTATTACCCAGATATAATGACTCCATTGTACACCTATGGCGATTCCCATTCATTCGGAGAACATTGTTGTTACGATACTTTCGGCAAAAAGAGCAAGGACGATAGGCCGTGTAGGACGGTTGAGGTGCTGGTGGTAGTTCACTTGATGTACAAAGGATAGGCAACCTCACCAACTAATACCCTCTGGTTGCCCGTACCGATGGACTGGTCACGAAAGCACGACACAGATATCCATATGAAGTATCTAGCTACCGAACCCCTCAAGGACAAGGTCTTTGGTCGTCTGTTTTTGCAACTACCTGAATAAGCAACGATCTGGGCAAGTCACGTAGCATTCCCGAAGATGGGTTGATTGGCTGTGTAATTCCTGTGCTCGCCTGACAAGGTTAATGGGGGTGGTGCCGATGTATTAAATTGGAGCATGATCAAGAGACGTTTTACTGTTTCTTGTTTCGACATGTTTTTCATGGCGTACTCCAACACACAACCACGTGGAGGGATCCTCCCGCTTAGTGCTGTTGGTGGTGAGTCCCACCAACCCCCCCCCCTCGAGAACACACAGGCGGAATATGCACGAGTGGCTGCCAAAGAAGTTACCCGTATTTTTCGGTTAAGGTGAGAGCTCGGATTTTTCATGGGAAATTGCACCACTTATTTTTCGAAGAATGGGTGAAGCAGGTAACATCCCGAACCCTTCTATTTCCCGTTTGTGAGTTCTCTTGCTCTCGCTTGTTTTTGGGCTTCACGACTGTAGTCTCTGTCCTTGTTTTCATCCTTTTGTCATCTGCTTTGTGTTCGCCGTATTGCAGATCCCTCCGAAGGAGTTCTTCCCTGGAGGCTGGTGGGACGAGGTCACCGACAAATATGAATGGCTTAAGGATCATGCATGGCCCAGCAAGCCTGCCCAAGCCCTCATCGCCACCATGAAGCCGGAGATCCTGGGGGCAATTAAAGGACTGATCGAGACCGGGGGATTCCCCAACTTCTTCGCTATGATAGGTTTTACCGATCTCGCCAATCTTGCATGCGCCTGGAACAAGGGTAGGGAAGCGTTCGACGCTAGGCTCAGGGGCATGGCGACGGAGCTCGAACAGAGGAAGATAGACTACGGGAGGGAATGCACGAAACTGCCAGCTAGGACTGCACGGACAGAAAAGATTTTCCTGAAAATCTGGGGCCTGGATCACTCGCACCTCCAAGCGAAAAACGTCGAGGTACCGCCAACCGGTTGCACAGTGGCTGACGCCCTAGCCATGGATGACGATGAACTAGCGCAGATGAATGAGGCCATCGCCGCCATAACCGCTTCCGCTAGCTATTCTCATGAGAAACCCTCCTCGCAGGGAAAGCAGTACACTGCTTTTGCCCCCCTCTCGTCGCAACACTGGACAAAGCACACAGGGATAAGATTCAGACACACCCTATGGAAGCTTGAGACATTTAACTATCTCGCTCCTTTTTCCATGAACGCACTGGTGTTCCTCGCTAACCTCACGAGCGAAGAAGTCGCTGCCTGCAAAGCGAACGCGATGACAGGATCCTTACCATACTGCCCACCTGGGAAACCCTCTTTCAACCCGACCATTCTGAAGTTTCCTATGTTGTCGTCACTAGATCACACGAAGTGTGAGCATACGACACCGGTCATGTGGCAGAAAAAGATCAAGACGACGCCCGAAGTCGATCTGAAGGGACTGAGGAAATGTTGGAATGTGGGACGTCCTTACCTTAGATGCAGATGCGCCACGGAAAGGAAGGACTGTGGCGCCGACCCGATATGGGTTGATCCCGCGATCTGGTACTTGCTCACGCACCCTGACACCCTTTTTCCCAACATCACATCCATAAAGGTTAAAATGTCCACATTCATTCATTTCCTGCACGTCTCATGGAAACCAGCCATCGAGGCATGTCTCACCCTTATGTTCATTCGCCAGTTCATGACCGATGCCATACTGGCTCTCGAGAAAGACGCGAATCTCACTGCTGAATCGGTTATCGGAAGGGAAAACTGGAAGTACAACACGACAATCACGATCGGCAGGGTGCTCCTGCCCACGAGAATCACGGGCAACCCTAGGGTCAGGGCACGTAATTCCCCAAACAACCAAGGGGGCGCCCAGAAGAGACAACGCAATAACTTCCCGATCGTTGTCTCGCCAAGACAGAGGGTCCTCCCCTTCGAACCTAGGATCGGACAACAGGAGCGAGATGCGATGAATCAACCCCGGGATAAGCCCCGCCAGGACAGGCGAGGGGAGGAGGAGCAAAGGAACCCAAGGGCAGATGGCAGCCCCCCCAATGCAGAGCTGATGGGGGATAGAGGGCTGCACAACATGGCGATCGGGGTGCGACAGAATGGACCAAGCACGAGAAGCATGAGCGTTGCTGGCAAGTCTTCGTCTTAGATTGGCTCAACCATCTCCACTGCTGAATCAGCAAGATGGAGGGCTGGAGGGAAGGGCGCGTCCAGCAGCAAGAAGGCCAGAAGGGACTACATCGGGCCTCCTTAAGAGGGTCCGTGCGCTCCGGGCCAAGCACGGCCGATCCTCGTTTGGATTGGTTGCCCCTCACACCTCTTCCATGACCAATCTACGAGCCCGGTCCTTAATCCGTTCCTGTGTCGATATTTCTTTATTTTTCTAGGCTTTATTCGTTTTATTTGCTTGTTTTTTTTTCTTATTTTTTTTATTTTTTTTTTCAGTTTCTGAAAGAAGGAAGTTCAGGGAGACATATAAATAAAAGAAATTTTTCCGTTTTCTAATAGCAACCCACCCATCGAAGAGAACCACCAGATATTGAACGACCATTCACACGTGTATGATACCGTCAATGAGTTGCGCAGGATGGATGCTTCGATCTGGAGCAAGGGGGTAGCCTGATCCACCTACCTTCAGGAAGAGTGGCATGGAAAAGGAGAAAGCAGGAGCGAGGCCAATTCGTGCACGTTCGCTACACGAGCAGACTTATGGAGAATGTACCGCTGAGGAGGATAGTATTGGATGCACTTAGGCAGGTGGCGGGAGAAAGGTCGACGGATTAGCTCGAGGACGTGGTGATAGGATGGCGTTATGATGACTCACTATGTGCCAAGCTATGCAGACCCGGGAAAGTCTTCTGGAAGTTCAGAATGTGCGAATGGGAGGCGAGGTATCAACCAGACAACTGCCCATCCCTCAAGGGGAGGCACGTGCATTTTCTTAGCACTGCAACAATGAAGCTTTTACCAGAGGACGGTTGCATGCACGTCATCACCAACGACACAAGTATCACCAATAACGGTGTCAGGCGGCCGCAAGCAGTGTGCCGCCTGAAAGCTGCGGTTTTAGGACTTAGGCGCGAAAACGAGTCTGAGTTTTGACGGTACTCTGGTTAGACCATGCGGCGGAGATTAGGGGACCTCGGGGCGCCCTTGATTTTGGGCGCGCTGGAACTTACGGG